CTTCTATTCAGATTTTAGAGGTTATGCTTGCTAAATTAACAACTGCCTTAGCAAAATATGGACTGTATATTTCCTCAGAAAAAATTCAGAAGCATGGGCCTTGTATTTATTTAGGATATGTTATCTTAGATAATCAATTGTACCTTACCACCCCAAAGATAGAGTGCCAAATCTTCGTACTTTAAATCAATTGCAATAGTTTATGGGGCACCTAAATTGAAGCAGACCTTCTTTTCATCTTACTACCATGCAACTAAGTCCTCTCTACCACCTATTAGAAGGGAACTCAGATGCTAACTCTCTTAGACATTTAAATGCAGATGCACAACAAGCTTAGCACTGGTAAAGAAAGCCCTTCATCAAATAAGAATAGAGTTAATCCTCAAAAGGATATTCAAATCCTTATAATTCTTAATGTAGAACAACCTTTGGCTATTATATTTCGAGAACCTAATTGTCCGTTAGAATTTACCTCATCAAATAAAAACAGATAATGGGCCTTCTTTTACTAGTAAAACCTTTCAACAATTTTGCCAAACTTGGGGTATTTCACATACTACTGGCATTCCTTACAACCCCACAGGACAAACAACAATAGAGAGACAACACAAACATCTCAAAGATCAAACAAATAAAATAAAAATTAGGGAATCACCTATACCTGGATTAACAGTACAGAATCCTCATGTCTTGTTACACAGGTCTTTACTAACTTTAAATTGTTTTACACTAAATGATCAAGGAATTTCCCCAATGGCCAAGCACTGGCAAGAACTGACTGTCCCACAGCCCTTGCCACAGGAGCTTTGGAGAAACCCAGAGTCAGGACTCTGGAGTAAAACTCCAGCTCCTCTAGTAACAATGGGCCGAGGTTATGCTTGTGCCTTTCCAGAAAACGAATCCTTCCCCCGATGGGTGCCACCCAGATAACATTGAAAAAACCTAGGCGCCATGAGGCCACCTGATAGGAATGCCTGACAAGAAGTCAAGCATTGAGAAACTAGCTTATCAGAAAAACAGGACGTAGTGGTCAAGCCATCTGCATCTGGCAATCCCCGGGGCTCGATACCAGGAAATCAGGAGAAAAACCTCTGTGTCCCTGAGGTCACCTCCCATTTAGCAATCCCACTTCCCCTTAGCCCCGACCCTTACCCCATATTTCTGTGTGCTTTTGAAATTACTCTGTGTGTTTTTGAATTAACCAATAACCGCGCTTCTGCTTCTGTACCCTGCTTCTGCTCTATAAAAGTGCCAAACCCCAGCCTGTAGGCGCGCAAGTCCTCCGAGGAGACTTTGTGCCCACAGGTACCTGTGTACTAAATAAACCTCTTGCTGTTGCAACCCAAAGGCTGACTTGTCCTCAGTGGTCTCACTCTTACACATCAAACCAATTAACTGAGCCACCCACAATGGAGATGGCCATGCTGACCCTGAGGAAGCAGAAAAGGAGACCCCAGAAGAAGAAGAAGAAGTTGCAGCCTCCTGTGACCTGGAGAATGATTAAGAACCTGATGAACTGTGCCCAAGAGCTAGGACAATGCCAAGGCCAAGATATAGCTAAACCTGAAATTCCTCTTGTCCGTATTCTAACTGTACTGACTGTAAATAATGTAAAAGCTGAGACATGTGTCATCAATACTAATGTTAAGGGTGTGCCTGTTATAGGGTCAGGTTCAGTGCTCACATATACTACACAAGGATGTACATTGCCACCTGGACCCATTATTTGAGAAAGAGATGGACAAATAATATACAGCCAAATGCATGGAGTATTTTCAGATTGGAAAATGCTACTAATCAGAACTTTAAAAATCAGTATGATTTCAGTATTTTAAAAGAGGCACTAACCCTAAAAGACATGGAGTTATAGATGAAATTATAGATGTGTGAAAAAGCAAAATGACTCTTCTAAAGATATTGAGATAGCTAGATCAACTGTAACTTTACCTCAAATTAGTCCACCCATGTCTAATGGCCAGGACAAGAACTTATGGTTCCGTCTTGCAAAAAGAGGCTATAATAGAGAAAGCTTCTGTGTACAAGGATACCCTTCTATACCAGGATTGTTAAAGAAAAAATTGTTAGGAATAGGAGTTCATATAGACATGTATAAGGCTATAAGTGAGGGTACTATGGAAAATCATAGATAGCATATTAATAGGACAATTAAGCATCTGCCTGTGTTTCAAGCTATTGCTAATCATTGTCTATGTTTTAATTGTACATCTATTCCCTTGCATTTAATACTACTTCAAATCATACCCTGAAACTAGGCAAAGAACTGCCTACTGGGTGGACTTTCTTTTATAAGAAAAGCTGTAGCTGTTGGATCTGCCTTTCTACCCTCCCTGGCTTGGGAAGGGGACTGCAAAAAGAAATATCTCAGATTGCTTGCATAATTAGTAAAACAACCAATACAACTGCTAAGGTATTAGGGGAAATTAATCAAGAAATGGGTGAACTCAGATCTGCTGTGTTACAAGATAGGGCTAGTAGAGATTATTTACTGTTAAAAAGTCATATGGGTTGTCAACAATTTCCAGGGATGTGTTGTTGTAACTTATCCGCTTTTTTACATACTATAAATCAACAAATTGGTGATTTACATAAGGAAGTTAACAAGATGTCTGAATTCTGTACTTCATGGCCAAAATGGCTTCAATGGATTACTCCAGTTTTGGGCTCGATATTGATTGGCATACTTCTTATCCAGCCACCTCTGATTTTATGCTTCATAATAGTGTTTATTAACAACACTATAGCCTCTATGACCATTTCCTCCCTGCTTTTAAAAAAAATAGAAAAGGAGGAGATGTTGGAGATCAAGATGGCTGGACTTGGGACAAGTTAGGCATGAACTTTTGAACAGGTTGCAGCCTCTATTAAGGGGCAAGGCACTGAAAACAGTGCCTCTATAACCCTGTCATGTGGAACACTGCAGTGACTAGCAAAAGGCAGCTGGCTAGGTTAAAAGTTTACAGTCTGTTCTGAGAAAAACACCTTGACTTCCTTAATCTAGAAGTGAAAAACAGCTTAATCAATAGCACCAAGTATGTGTGTAATTAAAATTAAGACACCTTAATTAATAAGCTCTGACACACTCCCTGGTCTTGTACAAATGACCCTCTGCCCACACTAAGGATTGATCAACCTATGTGACACGTAATATGAGCACCCTTTGTCTCTGTCTGAAATGAATATACATGCACCCTGGACCCTGCACATACCCACTAGCCCCTCTTTGGTATATAAGCTTGCTGTTAAAGAGCAAAGCAACTCGGAGTTCCTGTTACAAGACAATAAATTGGCTCACACCAAATGAAAGTTTGTTGGCAAACATTATAGATTTCTTTAGCAGATAAGAGCTCCCCGAGTTGGGAGACCCTTAATGCTATGGAGGTTTGCATTCTTATTTGGATTTTGAGAGCCTCACCTGGCATTTTTTCCTCCCATCCTTTACTACATTTTGTGCAAGGGTGTCTGCATATCCCTTCTATAGCAGGGATTGCGTCACTGAAAAAGTGGGCCCCGCACCCTCCTCTGCTCTTTGTGGTGTAAAAGATACAGAGAGGCCCACCACATGCTATGGAAAATGGCTCACATTTTTGAGAAATGGAAACTTACTGCTGGGGACAAAAAAAAAAACTTCAAATAATGGAAATGTACCACCTATTGCAGGTGGAAAGTACATAAAAAACCTTCATGCTGGGTTTTTTATGTGCCTGCTTCTCCCATTTCAGGACCCTAAGTCTCACTGTTATGTCTTTATCTGGTTTTGGTATCATGGAGGCACAAGCCTTATAAGATGTATTTGGAAGCGTTTTCTCTCTTGAGTAGATATTGCTTCTTTACATAATTTGTTAACATTCAGCAGGGACATCATTTAGTTCCAGGGGTTTTATGAAATGGGAGCCTTTTTAACACTGATTAATTCTATTGTTAGAAGCATATTAATATTGTCTATTTCTTCATGATTCAGTCCTAGGAGATTAAATGTGCCTTGGACATTTACAATTCTGGATTATCAGGCTGTCAGCATCACCTTGACCAATGCCCTTGGATGTTTATATAGTCACCCTTGTAATTTATTTGTGTGCTCTCTCTGCTCATCTTTAGCCATATAAGGAATATTTTGTTTACCACTTGAATAATCAGCATTGGAACTTTTGAACTCTAGGATTTCCTGAACTTTTCTATTGATGACTGTTTTTCTTTGCATTTCTTTATGCTCTGATCTTCATTTTTTGCTACTAGTTTCAAGTTTGTTACTGACTTTGTGGTCCCTGGTGATCCCTGGTTTTACTTTCAGGAATCTTTATAATTTTTTGATAAGACAATGATGCTATAAATTTCTTCTTATGACAGATTATTTTCACCTTTCATTGTGTCCTGCCCCCATTCCTCATGCCCCTCACACTTTGGGGTTACAGATGGGCACAAGACCAGCCCAGCTTCCTATCTGAGTGCTAGAGGTTCTAATTCTCTTTCTCACGCTTGCACAGTCAGAACTCTTAACCTCTAAGCCATCTCACCAGTCCTACAAGATTCACTTGTTAAACAAACAAGGAGTATGTTTACTGTCATCAGACCACAGGGTGGTTCGCTGCCCTCTGACTCTGATTGGCAAGGGGATATTTGCATAACCGTTAGTTCTTTTTCTTTCTTTCTTTTTTTTTATTTTTGAGACAGGGTCTCCCTGTAGGCCCTGATACTCAGGACTGTGACACCACAGTAACTCAGGTCCAATTCTGATAGCCCTCTGCAAGTTACCCTCCACCATAACCAGCTATCTTGCTTGCCTGGCTATTTTCTCTAAATTAAAACATTCTCTCCCTTAGTGGGGATGAGAAAGGGTCAAAGGCATTGAGAGGCTAAAGAAAGTTACAGATTAAAAAAAAAAATAGAAAAGAAAACCTTATGAGACTGAGGAAGCTGGGAAAGTTAATCAGGTTGTGAGGCCCCTCCTCAATGATATAAAAGTAGCAAATAGCAGCTAGGGAGCTGCTTTGTGACTGGCAGAGATTTCTGCAAATTTTGCAGCTTTTGTGAGTCATCACCCATACTGGGGAAGGCTTTTCCATGATGTAGCTGCAGTTCTGTCAGTCACTCTGGTAAGTAACCACAGAAAGCCCACTCTCCTGTAAGTTAGCCTTCACCTAGGATTTATAAGCTAACCCCGATAAACTCACTGGTCACCAAGCTGTTCTTGTTTCTTTGATCTCTTGCTGCTGCCCTATCTGGGGTGAATGTGTGTGTGTGTGTGTGTGTGTGTGTGTGTGTGTGTGTATCTCTATGAAAAAAAAATCACAAAACAAAAAGAAGGAAGACATGAAGGCTCTTCAGTAAACCTGCTGCCTTAGAAGATAAATGACAAATTAATAAATGAAATCAGTTATTGTTGCCACCACTTACTCATTTGTTTTACATAGACCTAGTGTTTTAAATCTGCAGAAGATATCCTTGCTATATAGATATTGGGATAACAATATTCTTTTTTTAAAATATTACAAAAACTTTATTGAGAATTTCATACATGCATACAAGGTGTTTTGATCAAATCCATCCCCACGGCCTCCCCTCCAACTCCTCCCATATCTCTCCACACCTTTTTCTTTTTCTTTTCTTTTTTTACCTTCTTTCATTTATTTATTTTTATGGGGCTTTTGGCTACTCTAACATTCCCCACTCTGAAGAGGTAACCCTAAAATCTTTTAAGGATTAGATACAAGCTCCCAAATACTTTTTGACATGTTTGGCCTTTGGAACAGAGTACGTTGCTGAGAGGCCCAACGACATTTTAACTTTTAGCCAAGAAACTGGCTACTTTCCTTTGGGGGTCTTTTTACCCTAACTGCCTAGCCAATTCCTACCTCCTATTCTTAGCATGCCATCCTCTGAAGGGGTTACCCAAATTGCCAATAGGGAATAGGTATGCAGACTGTTCTGGCTTCTTCCATGTTGAACAGGGCACAGGGTGAGGCAATTGGAGTACTCCTTCAGTGGGTCTATCTAAAAGACTCCTAAATTGCATAACTCTTGTCTCTAAGGGGAAAAGAAAGTCCTTGATTCGTGAATAGGAGATGTGAAGGAGAAGTAAAGGCAAGAGTAATTAGCGTTACAAATTCTAA